TTCTGCAGGACAAGTCATACTTTTGCACGAATGCTGCCATCTATCCACGGTTTTTGGTTTGGATAAGTTCTTATAGTCAGGACACCTGCACAATTCCTTCACAAAAGGTTGAATTCCTGCAGGATTCCTGTTTTTTTGTAAGGGATTGCATTATGGAGGTCATAGCTGGTCTGTTTGTACACGTCCATGTTCCTAATCACCTTGTCATGTTTAAATGCGCTGGTTCACACTTTCAGTTTTGCACAAATGCTGCCATCTATCCAAGGTTTTTGGTTTGGATAAGTTCTTATGGTCACAGTAGGAACAACATCCTCTGTGCACGTCCTGATGAGCCCAGTCACAGTCAGTGTATACGTCGATTCTATTCCCAGAGGCGACTTAGAACATTTCCCAGTCCGGGTGATCAAAACAGTATTGAAGCATAGATTCAAATTGGTCAGACCAACGTCTAGCTTTCATTCTGTTGGATATTTATGCCATTCTGTAGTGAAGGCATTTGAGTGATTGTTGTCTTCTTGACTCAGTTTCACCCTTTCCCAGTCAATAAACCTGAAGACAAACCAGCCCAGTCTCATAGACTAGACATAACATAGTAAACGAGTCCCCTCAGGAGACTGAAAAGATTTGGCATGGGTCCTCAGATCCTGAAGAAGTTCTACAGCTGCACCATCGAGAGCATCCTGACTGGTTGCATCACTTCCTGGTGTGGCAACTGCTTAGCATCCGACTGCAAGGCGCTACATTACATTTACATTTTAGTCATTTAGCAGACGCTCTTATCCAGAGCGACTTACAGTTAGTGCATACATTATTTGATCGAACCCACAACCCTGGCGTTGCAAACGCCATGCTCTACCAACTGAGCTACATCCCCTGCTGGCCATTCCCTCCCCTACCCTGGATGACACTGGGCCAATTGTGCGCGCCGCCCCATGGGTCTCCCGGTCGCGGCCGGCTATGACAGAGCCTGGATTCGAACCAGGATCTCTAGTGGCACAGCTAGCACTGTGATGCAGTGCCTTAGACCACTGTGCCACTCGGGAGATAGCAGAGGGTAGTGTGTACGGCCCAGTACATCACTGGGGCCAAGCTCCCAGCCATCCAGGACCTCTATACCAGGTGGTGTCAGCAACCCTAGTCATAGACTGTTCTCTCTGTTACCGCACGGCAAGCAGTACCAGAGCGCCAAGTCTAGGTCCAAAAAGCTCCTTAACAGCTTCTACCCCCAAGCCATAAGATTGCTGAACAGTTAATCAAATGGCTACCCGGACAATTTCCATTGACCCCACCCCTTCTTTTTTTTTTACGCTGCTGCTACTTGCTGTTTATTATCTATGCATAGTCACTTTACCCCTACCTACATGTACATATTACCTCAATGACCTTCACTAACCTGTACCCCCGCACATTGACTCGGTACCGGTACCGGTACCAGTCTTGTTAAGTTGCGTCAATTCAAATCTGGTAATGGAACAAAAAGAGGTCAATACACATCTTCTAAAATAGACTAGTATTTTAATTAATGCAAAACACTTCAATGGTATATATGATGTTCGTATATACGGGTCCACTGAAATACCACACAGGGCAGTCAGAGAACTGGTCCATTGTTATAAGTTCTTCTTTAAATACTCTGACAGAGATAGTTCCTGCTCCCTGCTGGCCTATCAGAGTAGAGACTGAGCGTGGTTTAGACTTATTCAGCCTATCGTTGGCGCACAGGCTGGTCCCAGCCCCTTGGCGCTTCACTGTTGCCAGGCATCAGTTGTTTTCCTCACAACTTGTCCAGAAAGTCAGCACCCATAGACACAGTTTTCCTGTGCTTTCCCATTCTAACTATACTCTTTGTACCTATGTCCTTGGACAGTTCAACAAAGAGGCAGTGTGAGTCACAAGCCTTATCTCACCCTACTCCCTAACAGCTCCTCACATTAATCACAGCTTGTTAGGTTAAACAATTTATATCAGTACAGTACAAACCTTTTATGTTTACTCATGAATGCTTTCTTATTAAGCTAACAGCACATCTAAAATATAAGAGAATAATTTCCCACAGTCTCCAGTTCTTATTATACCTCAGTGCATTGTCTTAGGTCAGATCGTGTAATTCGGGATCTGAGTTCCACGTCCTACAACACAGATTAGCAAGAAAAAAAAAGGAAATAGTAACACAATAAAATAACATAATAATAACAATAATAACCTATATACAAGATACAGGAAGTACCGGTACCGAGGCAATGTGCAGGGATACGAGGTAGTTGAAGTAATTGAGGTAATATGTACAGTACATGTAGGTAGGGGTAAAAGTGACTAGACAATCAGTACAGATAATAAACAGAGTAGCAGCAGCGTATGTGAAGAGTGTGAAAGTGTGTCTATGTGTGAGTGTGTGTGTGTGTGTGTGTGTGTGTGTGTGTGTGTGTGTGTGTGTGTGTGTGGCGTCAATATGCATGTATGCATGTGTGTGTGTGTTTTGTGTGTGAGTGTGTGTGGACGTGTTTAATTATTAGTAAACAAAAAAAAAAGACCAACTGGGGACATTTTGTTGGTCCCCACAAGGTCAAATGCTATTTCTAGGGGGTTTAGGGTTAAGGTTAGAATGAGTGTTAGGGTTAGAATTAGGGTTAGGGTTAGGAGCTAGGGTTAGTCTTAGGGTTAGGGTTAGGAGCTAGGGTTAGGGTTAGAGTTAAGGTCAGGGTTAGGGTAAGAGTACGGGTTAGGTTTAGGGTTAGGGGTTAGGGAAAATAGGATTTTGAATGGGACTGAATTGTGTGTCCCCACAAGGTTAGCTGTTCAAGACTGTGTGTGTGTGTGTGTGTGTGTGTGTGTGTGTGTATTTGTGTGTTGCAGTGTCAGTGTAGTATGTGTGAGTGTGTGGGTAGAGTCCAGTGAGTGTGCATAGGTCATGGACGGGGCCAAAGTGGAGAGTTTCAAAAGCTTGAAGTTTCAAAAGCTTCAATTTCCTCAGCGTGCACATCATTGAGGACCTGAAATGGTCCCTTGACACCGACAGCTTGGTGAAGAAGGCACAACAGCGCTTCTTCAACCTGAGGAAGCTGGAGAAATTTGGTTCGGCCCCTCACAAATTTCTACAGATGCACCATCGAGAGCATTCTGTCGGGCTATATCACACCCTGGTATGGCAACTGCACAGCCCGCAACCGCAGGGCTCTCCAGAGGGTGGTGCGTTTAGCCCAATGCACACTGCCTCGCTTCCAGGACATCTACAGCACCCGGTGTCACAGGAAGGCCATGAAGATAATCAAAGACCTCAGCCACCTGAGCCATGGCCTGTTCACCCCGCTACCATCTAGAAGGCGGAGACAGTACAGGTGCATCAATGCTGGGACTGAGACTGATAAACAGCTTCTATCTCCAGGCAATCTGACTGTTAAACAGTCATCACGTGCCGGCCTCCACCTAGTACCCTGCCCTGAACCTTAGACACTGTCGCTAGCCGGCTACCACCCGGCACTCTACCCTGCACCTTAGAGACTGCTGTCCTATCAGTCATTGAACACTGGTCACTTTAATAATGTTCACATACTGTTTTACCCACATTATACTGTACAGTGCCTTCAAAAAGTATTCATACCCTTTTACTTATTTCACATTTTGTTGTGTTACAGCCTGAATTCAAAATACATTGAATATATTATTTTTCTCTCACACATCTACCCACAATACCCCATAAGGACAAAGTGAAAACATGTTTTAAGAAATGTTTGCAAATGTATTGAAAATTAAATACAGAAATATCTCATTTACATAAGTATTCACACCCCTGAGTCAATACATTGTAGAAGCACCTTTGGCGGCGATTACAGCCTTGAGTCTTTTGGGGTGAACTCCAAGAGCTTTGCAAACCTGGATTGTACAATATTTGCCAATTATTATTTATAACATTCTTCAAGCTCTATCAAGTTGTTTGTTGATAACATTCTTCAAGCTCTATCAAGTTGTTTGTTGATCATTGCTAGACAACTCCTGTGTCCGGTGTAGCTCAGTTGGTAGAGCATGGCGTTTGCAATGCCAGGGTTGTGGGTTCGTTTCCCACGGGGGACCAGTATAAAAAAACATTTTTAAAAAACATGTATGCACTCACTAACTGTAAGTCGCTCTGGATTAGAGCGTCTGCTAAATGACTAAAATGTAAATGTTATTGTCCTGCTCAAAGGTGAATTAGTCTCCCAGTGTCTGTTGGAAAGCAGACTGAACCAGGTTTTCCTCTAGGATTTTGCCTGTGCTTATACCTGTATTCTGTTCCCATTATTATATCCAACATGTCTTTTCATCTTAAGATGGTGGACCTCCATTCCACTCTGCTCCCCTATTAACCCTGTCTTGTGAGGCATATTCCATATCATGAACCAAATGTAAAAGCAACTTTATCAAACATATCATTAACACTCTTCATTGGTGGCCAACGTGGGATATCCTCTCTTCAGGGGATTTTCTGCAGCTTTGGGTATGTTGTATTGATTCACCAGCCTGCTAAGAAAATACACAACTGTGTTGAAGTTACATACAGTACAGTAAGAGAAGAGAGGCACACTACAACTACTGGCAGCATTAATGGGGCTGGCCTCAACATTTCCCAATGCCATTGATTAAATGTTCCTGCTTTACCAAACATACCTATGAGTGAAACCAATGTTTTGTTGATTAAATTACCATTCATTTGTTTATGAGTAAATGACTGGGATTTTCTCAAATATTTTAATCAATCACATCTAGGTCTTGAACAACCTGACTAAAATCATGATCTCTTACACTTAATAATTCACTGTGTAAGGATGCATAAAAACGTTCCCTATATTAATTTAACTGGGTACGTAAATGGATTGACATGACAGTTAAAATTACTCAAATGAGGCCTATGATAGCATTTTCAGTAACTGATAAAATACTATTGTAACTAAATTACAATATGTAATTTTGCTCAGTATGTATTCACACTCGACAAAAACCTGTGTAAAATGTGTTTTAATTTATTATATTCTCACTGTCGCATTATACTTACAACCGGTAGTGGCTGAATATCCATTGTGACAACCAACATTTGCAACAAGATGATGGCCCTGGTCATCCTTTTGTTTACAGTTCAATGTCTGACTTCCTTCCTTAATAAACATATCTTGTGTAAGGTCCAGCCAATCATAAAACCATGGGTCCAGTTTGCAGCCGGCTTTGTAAAAAGAGAGTTGATATAAAAATGTTAATGGTTTACAGTGTATATTATGAGGCAATATTTTTGAGTTTGTGATAGTATCTTTTTCATTTTAGCTAGTAACTCATTTGCAATACAAATTACATGTAACCTATATATACAACATTTTATGTTGTGAGTACGTAATATTTACGTGTACAACTACCGTGGGTCACATGTACATTCTGACATCGAACATCAGCAAAAAGTAGTGGTCTGTTATAATCCTGTCATTTACACGGAAACGTCTGACTCGCTCCTTCCTTCACGAACATATATTTTGTAAGATCCAGCCGGTCGAAAGTCATTTGGTAGACTGTACAGGGATCTGGTATACAGTGGGGAAAACAAGTATTTAGTCAGCCACCAATTGTGCAAGTTCTCCCACTTAAAAAGATGAGAGAGGCCTGTAATTTTCATCATAGGTACACGTCAACTATGACAGACAAATTGAGAAAAAAAAATCCAGAAAATCACATTGTAGGATTTCTAATGAATTTATTTGCAAATTATGGTGGAAAATAAGTATTTGGTCACCTACAAACAAGCAAGATGTCTGGCTCTCACAGACCTGTAACTTCTTCTTTAAGAGGCTCCTCTGTCCTCCACTCGTTACCTGTATTAATGGCACCTGTTTGAACTTGTTATCAGTATAAAAGACACCTGTCCACAACCTCAAACAGTCACACTCCAAACTCCACTATGTTCAAGACCAAAGAGCTGTCAAAGGACACCAGAAACAAAATTGTAGACCTGCACCAGGCTAGGAAGACTGAATCTGCAATAGGTAAGCAGCTTGGTTTGAAGAAATCAACTGTGGGAGCAATTATTAGGAAATGGAAGACATACAAGACCACTGATAATCTCCCTCGATCTGGGGCTCCACGCAAGATCTCACCCGTGGGGTCAAAATGATCACAAGAACGGTGAGCAAAAATCCCAGAACCACACGGGGGGACCTAGTGAATGACCTGCAGAGAGCTGGGACCAAAGTAACAAAGCCTACCATCAGTAACACACTACGCCGCCAGGGACTCAAATCCTGCAGTGCCAGACGTGTCCCCCTGCTTAAGCCAGTACATATCCAGGCCCGTCTGAAGTTTGCTAGAGTGCATTTGGATAATCCAGAAGAGGATTGGGAGAATGTCATATGGTCAGATGAAACCAAAATAGAACTTTTTGGTAAAAACTCAACTCGTCGTGTTTGGAGGACAAAGAATGCTGAGTTGCATCCAAAGAACACCATACCTACTGTGAAGCATGGGGGTGGAAACATCATGCTTTGGGGCTGTTTTTCTGCAAAGGGACCAGGACGACTGATCAGTGTAAAGGAAAGAATGAATGGGGCCATGTATCGTGAGATTTTGAGTGAAAACCTGGGTCTTTCAGCATGACAATGATCCCAAACACACTGCCCGGGCAACGAAGGAGTGGCTTCGTAAGAAGCATTTCAAGGTCCTGGAGTGGCCTAGCCAGTCTACAGATCTCAACCCCATAGAAAATCTTTGGAGGGAGTTGAAAGTCTGTGTTGCCCAGCGATAGCCCCAAAACATCACTGCTCTAGAGGAGATCTGCATGGAGGAATGGGCCAAAATACCAGCAACAGTGTGTGAAAACCTTGTGAAGACTTACAGAAAACGTTTGACCTGTGTCATTGCCAACAAAGGGTATATAACAAAGTATTGAGAAACTTTTGTTATTGACCAAATACTTATTTTCCACCATAATTTGCAAATAAATTCATTAAAAATCCTACAATGTGATTTTCTGGAATTTTTTTTCTCATTTTGTCTGTCATAGTTGACGTGTACCTATGATGAAAATACAGGCCTCTCTCATCTTTTTAAGTGGGAGAACTTGCACAATTGGTGGCTGACTAAATACTTTTTTCCCCCACTGTATAGGAAGTTGATATAAAAGTCAATGATGGTTGATACATCATGAGACAAGACAGTTGGATGTGTGATGGTATCCTGCTCATTTTAGCTAGTGATTCATTTACTTACCTATACAAGTGGGTTTGCGTGACCATTTTCCATCACTATGATGCATCACTTGCTCTGGGCCCTCAAGTTTATAAACGTTATTGCATTTATAAGTCAATGAATTTCGATCGTTGTTACTGATAAAATCCTCATTAACAACTGTTGGCTTCTCTCCTTATCTATCAACTGAAAAACAAGTACAGCTCTTAAGGATTACAAGGAAATGCACACATTGTTCTGAGACATTTCAGCTCATCAAGCAGGCCACTGCCAGATGAAAGGAATCGTGGTAATGTCAGGCAGCCGAGGGTAGAATGTAGCCATACTACGCCACCTAGATGTGATATGAGCCCAGTAGATACTCAATGGAATAATTATAAAATAACAGGTTCTTGATTTAGGAGGGGAGCAGTGTAACAATTACCCAGAAGGAGGCAGAGGCTAAAGTAGAGTACACAATTATAACTTTCATTAGATTTTATTTTTGTGTGATAAATTATAAAAAATAATGTCTACAGAAAAGTATTCAGCCAAAAAGTGCTAAAATATATTATGCTGATTAGATCTCCGCAAGAAACAGTCACTTTCAAAAGACAGTCTTATTCCACCAGATGGCGCCAACGTCATCCTCAGTCCAGTCCAAATTCACAGGTTCACCTACAGTAGTATAGATTCTCTCACGGCAGCTCCTCAATTTCCCACACGGTGAAGCCGGATCAGCAAATCACCTTAAGGTACACAATGCTCCTGTGCATCAGGCTCTCCGAAGCCTGGCTCGGTCTAGCAGTTGCAGCTCCAGGGGTATAGACAGGTTGGCCTTCCTGCTACATTATAAACAGAATCTGTCCTGCTCTCCATAGCAGTCTGACGGTTGTCTAAAGGTCACCCGGTTGGAGCATCAGGATAAAACTTCTGCTCTGTTCTGCCCAGTGGGCTCAACTGCAGGGGCAGTATAAAAACCATCTACTCCAGTCTCTGCGCTGCCTTCCCCTACCCACACCGGCTTGCCTAGAACCTGGGAGGAAGTCTGAATCTTGCGGGCATGGTTCTGCCTATGCTGCTTAACTGCTTCTCCCTCCCTACCTACACAGTGGGGCTTAAGGGGACCCTAGCCTCCACTGTCTGCAGGCTACAGGTAGTACCCCGAGAGTGAAACCTCATACCTCCTCTACCATGTGTGGCCAGAAGAAGTGCTGACGAATTTGAGACATGGTCCTCCTCACCCCCACATGGCCAGCACCTTCAATATACTTTATCCACACGTCCTGGTACCTGGATGTTGGACAGACAATCTGGAAGCGTTGCTCGTGGCTGTTAAGGTCTGTAAACCTCCTACACAACACACCAATACGCCCCTGGCATCAACTTTATCTCCACAGACCATTTGACAGCCTGGATGTCTGGATCACTCAGCTGACCAGGCTGCCACTCACTAAGCCATGTACCAGAGTCCTCCTGCTGGTCCGGCACCGCCACTACAGTGGTCACACTCCGGTCTTGGGCTCCATGGGCACCCACATCCACAGTATCTGGTTCAGGCGAGGCTTCCACCGGCCTGCGGTAGCCACGGCCTCTTGATCCTGTGCAGGTACGTCTCCTCCCGACACCACTTCTGGACGGAATGCGGGTCTAATGACGGCCGATAGGCCCAACATATTCAAGGGACCCCTCCTTCCAATTGGCGGCATCTGTCCACCGGCAGGTGGTAGAGGCTCCTCTTTTGACCTGCTGAGACTGGAGGCAAAGTCACTGGGTTCCCCTGGCTTTTGAATAACACATCCTAACATGCAATGATAACATTCATACCAATAATGAGGGGGGTCAGTTGAAAGTTCGTACTTTACAATTACAACTCCTCGGTTTGGTATTTTGACACCTCCAACTTCAAAGTCCCTTATGAACACCTTCATCTGGTCCTGAACCTCTTCCATGATTTCTCTTTTTAAAGCCTGCTTCCAGTCAGTTTCCTGCTGCGCTGCTGAAGCCTGCAATGCAGTTCCCTCAAATGCAATACGTATGCTTTTACAGTCTCATCAGGCTTTTGCTTGCAACTATAAAACTGAGATCTTACCCGAGCTATGGGAATTTGTTCACTGTAAAGGGAATCTAAATACATACATATCTTGGTGGCTCTGTCACGCTCCGCCTCTGCCAGCACGCTTACCTGGATTTCAACTTTTTTTATTCCTGTAAATTCTTGAATGCCTAAAAGCCCCTGAATCTTCTCTTTCCATTCACCATACTTCAATTCACCGTTAGGACCTTTAAATTTGGGCACCTAGGGTGCACCGGGAAATATTAGCATCATCATCATGTTTGTTTAGCTAAAAGTCTGACGACTATGCCAAATGTCAGGCAGCCGAGGGTAGAATGTAGCTGTACTACGCCACCTAGGTGTGATATGAGCCCTAGGAACTCAATGTAATAGGTTCTTGATTTGGTTCTGGGTAATTGTTATACTGCTCCCCTCCCAAACCAAGAACCTGTTATTTTATGGTTATTCCATTGAGTTCCTAGGGCTCATATCACACCTAGGTGGCGCAGTACGGCTAGATTGTACCCTCGACTGCCTGACAGTAACACTTAACTTTAAGAATCCAGGTATAATATAACCCTTTATATGCCTTGTAATCATGTCATCATTATACTTGGAGGATTTAAGTAAGTGTTACTGGAGTAGCTTCTATTTGCATCACTAAATATGATAAACTAGTCTAATGGTGAAAAAATAAATTGAATTACCCGGTAAAAATAGACCTGAGCCACTAGGTTGTGGTCTGGCAGTTGGTCTGATATTGCGCGAGGTCTCATCACCTGTTGGAGAAAGTTACAGTAGATCTGTGAAAATTAACCTGTTGAGAAACGTGGCATTATCCCCTGGGCACACCACGTCATTTCAACTTGGATAATTGGGTAATATTTGCGTAAAAGTCACCTAGTCCTAGATATTTACACGGTTATCAAAACGTCACGCCAGGGTAAGCCTACACAAAACACAGCCCTTATTTTAAGTATTTCTAAAATCCCCTATGGGAAAAATGAATGGTGGAAAAACGATTGGAACCATTTCCCTGTTTGACCGCTAGGTTTTATGAGTATTATGACTCATACTGTGGTACTCTGAGTGAAAAGTGCTTATCTCACGCAGACAGATTTTGGGCGGAGTAAATCCTCTTGCTTCGCCTCTTCATCTTTGGCTATGTAGCCTACATTTTTGCGCATCTGACTGTATTTAAAACAAAACAGTATTGTTTTGAATAGTAAGGGGTGTAGCCAACTTCAATTGAATATTTAAAAAATATTCTAATTTTGCATGTGGTTGTTCAAGTGTGAGTAGAACTTCTTTGATATGTGTTCATTCTACTACTACTATAGTCTATAGATTACTTTAAATGACTACAGTATAGATCACCAGGGAGGGGCAGTTAAAGAGCCACATGATGCTCTGGAGCCACATATGTTCCAGACCCAGTCTTGTATATTAACTTCACAAAATATAGCCTAAATAAGAGTTTTGAGAATGACGCACATGTCACAGTCATTGGAGTCGTCGGTTTATTAATGATGATTAATGATGATTTGAATATACATCTGCCTACATTAGGCCTAGTCTAATGGCACTGTAACACAATATTTATGTTTGGGTGAACAGTCCAATAAACTTTTGTGTTCTTGAACTGCTCTGTCATTTTTAGGCTGTAAATCTGACAGATCGGTCTGTTCTTGAGAACTCAAAAGTTATTGGGCTGTTCACCCAAACAGAAATGTTGTGAGTTGTGACAGTGCCATTAGAGTAATTTTACAAAAACAATGTAGGCCTTATGAAGGCAGATATACACTACATGACAAAAAGTATATGGACACCTGCTCGTCGAACATCTCATTCCAAAATCATGGGCATTCATATGGAGTTGGTCCCCCCTTTGCTGCTATAACAGCCTCCACTCTTCTGGGAAGGCTTTCCACTAGATGTTGGAACATTGCTGCGGGGACTTGCTTCCATTCAGCCACAAGAGCATTAGTGAGGTCGGGCACTGATGTTGGGCAATTAGGCCTGGCTAGCAGTCGGCGTTCCAATTCATCCTCAAGGTGTTCAATGGGGATGAGGTCAGGGCTCTGTGCAGGCCAGTCAAGTTCTTCCACACCGATCTTGACAAACCATTTCTGTATGAACCTCGCTTTGTGCACGGGGGCATTGTCATGCTGAAACAGGAAATGGCCTTCCCCAAACTGTTACCACAAAGTTGGAAGCACAGAATCATCTGGAATGTCGTTGTATACTGTAGCGTTAAGATTTCCCTTCACTGGAACTAAGGGGCCTAGCCCGAACCATGAAAAACAGCCCCAGACCATTATTCCTCCTCCACCAAACTTTACAGTTGGCACTATGCATTGGGGCAGGTAGCGTTCTCCTGGCATCTGCCAAACTCAGATTCGTCCGTCGGACTGCCAGATGGTGAAGCGTGATTCATCACTCCAGCGAACACGTTTCCACTACTCCAGAATCCAATGGCGGTGAGCTTTACACCAGTCCAGCCAACGCTTGGCATTGCGCATGGTAATCTTAGGCTTGTGTGCAGCTGCTCGGCCATGGAAACCCATTTCATGAAGCTCCCGATGAACAGTTCTTGTGCTGACGTTGCTTCCAGAGGCCGTTTGGAACTCGGTAGTGAGTGTTGCAACCGAGGACAGACGATTTTTACGCACTACATGCTTCAGCACTCGCCGGTCCTGTTCGGTGGGCTTGTGTGGCCTACCACTTCGCGGCTGAGCCATTGTTGCTCCTGGACATTTCCACTTCACAATAACAGCACTTACAGTTGACCAGGGCAGCATGGCATGGCCAAAATGTGACGAGCTGACATGTTGGAAAATGACGGTGCCACGTTGAGAGTCACTGAGCTCTTCAGTAAGGCCATTCTACTGCCAATGTTTGTCTATGGAGATTGCATGGCTGTGTGCTCGATTTTATACACCTGTCAGCAACGGGTGTGGCTGAAATAGCCGAATCCACTCATTTGAAGGGGTGTCCACATACTTTTGTTGAAGTAAATATTGAAATCATCATTATTAGCCTAATCATTATCACCAATAACCCAACGACTCCAATGACTGCGATGTGTGCTTTGGATGATGCTGACAGTGAGATAACACATGCACAACGTCGCAAGAGCTTAATGATGCAATTGGACTTTGGGAGTCTAGTCGCACCCGCACACGCAACTGATGTAGCTACAGCTAAGGAGAACTATGGTTGATTTGGAGAGCGAAGTACCCCATCTTCCCCCGAGGTATAGATTCAGGGACTTACTCCTCGGGGACCAGAATTTACAAGACGATGACAGGTAGGTTGAGTTTGTTTGACACTTTTAGATACAAAAAAATGTTTTAATCATTATCATGCGGTTTAACTTTGTTGTAGCTAGTACTAAATTTAAGGTCGGTGGATTTCTAAAAACATTTTGGCTATCATTTTTCTTTTTCAATACAATAATAACAGATTTTCTGATGTGATTTTCTGTTTTGCAAATTGTAGTTGGCGAGGAAAGAGAATGACTATTTTAATGGTACACCTTAAAATCTAATGGCACCCCTTAAAATTGGTTTAACATTTTTATTAAGGCCTACAGTATCATGGTGCTTGCATAACAAAGGAATGAGACTATGATAGGCCTACACAGTCCAGGGTCAAATAGTAATATTATTTAAGAGTTTGCACCTGTGGAATCCTTGTTTAATACCCAGCCTTGCCCATGTGCAAATGCTTAGTAAATATGTCATTATTAATTTTATTTATAGAAACTATTTATATTTCTCTTTTATTTTAAGGGTGCAAGTCGAATTTTATGCCAATGAAAGTACTTTCAAAGAGAGACTTAAACTGTTCTTCATCAAAAACCAAAGATCAAGTAAGTAATGTTTTTTAACTATGTAGTCACAGCTGAACTACACTATATGCTGTTACTATCCATCTAATACATCTTATTTGTACTTTATTTTAAAGAGACAGTAAAAAATACACCCGTTGCATCTGTAACAAATGGCAAATTGTTGAACCAGTTATAACCAAGGGGCCCAGAGATTTTCCTGTTCAGGTCACATGGTGAGGAAGTACTGACCTTAGGTATGAAATTATAACCTCTCTGTCTTTGTCTCCCAGGCCTGAGAATACAAGTGTTTGACTTCTCCCTAAAGGTCCTGAGCTGTGTCTTATACATGTGTCGCGTATTGACAGCTGACCCATCCAAAGGACATGGCTGGTAAGGATAGTCATTTAATGTCTTGTAGGCGAATGTAGATACCACATGGTGATTACTGAATAGTCACAAAAATGTTGCATTTTTATGACTACAATTTGACAACAGCCTCTAAAGATGGCCCTCAAGGTACAGTAATTCTCAGAGAAGAAACAAGGGATCATCAGTAGAAAATGTGGAAACTATTAGTCATTAACAGTACCAAAACCATGCCATGGAAAATGTCTCACTAACCAGGTTTCCATCCAACCATTTCATGCGGATGAATTACCTGACGCATGAAAAAAGTCACAACCGGTCTGATGGGAACAGAAAATGCCGGTACACCTTTATAATGCTGACAGACAATTTGTTCATTCGACATGGTGGGATCTTTTTGTGTCGGTATAATTAGTTATGCGAGAAATGGCGGTGGAAACGCCTTTATGTACAAATATTGATATAATAACCATCATATGGAAGTAAACGTGGAGTCACGCAATGACATGTAGTGTGGTCCTCATCCTCATGTGCTGTTGGGGGTACTGGAGGACCGGATTTGGGAAACACTGTTGTAGCTCTATCAAGGACAGCATAGCCATGTTAGAGATATAGATATAATGACGAGACGCTTGTGTCTCCACCCTAAAAATGAGATTTGTTGGAATGGCGGCCTGAGGAAGGCCCGCAGCATCATCAAGAACCCCCACACACCCCAGCCATGAGCTGTTCACTCCCTTACTGTCGGGCAGACGGTATCGGAGCATGAGGTCTGATACCAACAGGCTCAGACAGTTTCTATCTACAAGCCATCAGACTGCTGAACACCTGAACTAGACTGTCCACCTGCTCTGATTCGTTGCATTTTAGCACACATGCACTCACTCACTCGCGCACACATCTACACACACACACACACACACACACATGCACATCCACACACACAAACACACACACACACACACATAATCACAACTGCTGCTACCAGACTTGTATTATGATTGCTATAACTGCACAATTTAAACACTTATCCCCCAATCCCACTTTCCCACAAAAAATTGGACTATAAATTGTTCCTTCCTGTATTATGCTTATGCTATGTGAGATGGAACCTGCAATTAATCATTTCATTGGACGGTGTGTACCATGTGTATCCTGTACATACAACTAATACAACTTGAAACTTTAACTATTTTTTTATTTTATTTGATGAGGGATATTCACTTCAACTGCCTGTATTCAATGACGAGTGAGATGCTGTGCTAGCCTCATGAATATACATAGACCGTCTCGAATTTCAACAACTCCGATATAAAGTGTTTTTTTCTAAAAGTTGCCGGGATGTCACGTCCATCCCACTTATATCAGTACACTCGTAACAACCTAAGCATTAAGAAACTTCTATTAGATCAAATAAGCCTCACATATCAAAATAGAAATACATTTTTAACTTGACAAAATTCAACACTCGTTGTCCCCCATGCAAAAACTCCTCACTTGCTTAATAATTAATGATCTGCTTAACGTGGAAAGATTTTAGGATTTTGAGTAAACCCTGTTGCTTCGCCTCTTCCTCTCTGGCCATGTCTGTGTGGGTGGACTATATAATGCTGGTGGACAGAAAGCATTGTAACCTGCATCTGTTGAGTCGCTATTTGATCTGCGCTCTTACATTTTCATCAGTGTAGCTTCAATTGGGTTACTTATGTAAGCTTTGTAAATGTAAATGCTTTTACAATACATTAATCTAATCTGGAAACATAAGCAAATAAGAGTTGGGTGACATTGTACTCAGTTTTGATAAAAGGATGAGGTAGGTACAGTCAGTTTACTTGCCGTTGTCCTTGTTTTGAAATATGACTGTAGAACTAACTGGCACATTGCCTCTGTACCGATACCCCCTGTATATAGCCTCCCTACTGTTATTTTATTTTACTGCTGCTCTTTACTTTACTTATCTATTTTTTACTTAACTTAAAACTGCATTGTTGGTTAAGGGCTTGTAAGTAAGCATTTCACTGTAAGGTGAATACCTGTTGTATTCGGCGCATGTGGCAAATAACATTTCATTTAATTTCATTACATTTTCTTCAATATTATTGTGCATTTTGTTAAATAGTTGGACATATCTTTTCTCTCTACAGCTGGGGATGCCCCAATCAAACATACATATTTTTTAAGATTGACTGGTGAGTATTTACTCTATCTACTCTTATCGAATCGAGTGTTAAATTAAAGAGAAGCATATCCAGACATCGACCTAATAATATTAATATTACCTGGCAACAATGCATCAAGACACCCTCACTTAGAGAGGAAACATACCAGAACAACGTGCTTCTGACCAGAATATTGGCCGCCATTTTCCAGTTATTTCCCAACAATTCTACATGTTGTATTGGCACAAACAGCCACCTGAACCCAGCAGGTGGACGCTATAACACACCACGATGACTCCAAGCAATAGGACAGCCATCCACTGCTTTTAGCTGTTAGCCTTTTCTAAAGCCTGTTTGTGGTTTCATGGCTCAACCCTACACCAGTGCCCCTAAATTTACCCTCATAGTAGGGTACAATACTGAACAGAAACATTATCCTACTTTGTCAAGGGGTTTTCCCAAACTTGGTCTTAGATTATATATTGTTTTCAGGGACTCTTTAATCCAACATCAAGCACAACCAATTAGTTATTTTCTACACACCACTGATCACTAGTCATTCTCTGGACATGATTCAAATATCTCTCTACATCTCAATCTCCAGTTGTGAACTAACACACAGCTTTTTTCCCCACCAGGTCTCCCATAATATGGGTTGAACGAAGTCTTCCCATATGGGCGTTACAGGTGAAATTTCTGCCAACAAATTTCCTTCATAATTTATTAACTTGTAGTTGTGTTTGCTAACTACTGCATACATGGGCACTATGCAATTACTACTGTTTGTCGTTTCTATTCTCAGTTAACCTGCTTCCCAATGATGTGAAACTGTTTTTTTTTTATAAGACTTGATGAAAACAAAGAGTCTATCCATACTTCTATTTCTTCAACAGGTGTCTGTGGCAGTTATCTGTCTTTTTGAAACTATTCTATTGACTTACCTGAGTTACAAGGTAAGTACCATCCCACTCCATAGGATGTCACTCAATCTAAGGAAACATTCATAGTAATGTCTATTCTACAGTCATATCAATATCACTACTCAATACACAACATCAATCTGTATATCTATATATAAAGTCAATAGATTGTGAAACAGGAAAAGCACTCTACTTTGTCCTCAGGGCAACATTTGGGAGCAGATCATTCGGTTGACGTTCATCCTGGAGATGGTGAACACAGTGCCTTTCCTGCTCACCGTAAGAGTTAACACACTCTAATAGGGCCTAGGATCAGTTTTGCCTGTTAAATAATAATTAAGGGGGGGGGGGGGACCTGATCCTAGATCAGCACTCCCGCTCCGAGACGTGAATATGGGCCCTGGACTCTAGCGAAACACAATGCTATGGCAGGGCTATTATGGCTATTATTGTCTCATCCAATAGCTAATGAAAACACTCTACATGAACATGGCTGAATTCTAAATTGTATGTGGTTTTTACTGGGATTTTAAAGATGTTTTAAGTCACATCATATACTGTACGTACCTACAAACTCCTAGTAGTATGTTTTGTCCCCGAGAGTACCATGACCAGAGGCACCCCAGCTAACACAGCTACGTTGCTGAAACATTGTGACAGCCTATCTTTTTGTAACTGGCAACATTGTCAGGAATGTTTTGGGCTTCTGTAGACGGGATGGCCTATAACGATCTCTGTGCTGTTTCAGACCATGTGGCTCCCTCTACGGAACCTCTTCATCCCTGTGTTCCTGAACTGCTGGTTGGCCAAGCATGCCTTGGAGAACATGATTGTGAGTGTTAATCTGCCTCAACTCAGACACGGCTGAATCAGCTTGTTGCGGTAGTGCTGCCACCTCTGGACCACACATTACACCTGGGGCAGCGGATTGATCCCCGGTCCCGCCACTGCTCTATCCCTCTGTTCTGTCTCCCCATCTCAACTACTTGTACCTACCTTATTTATCAATTAAATAGATTTAAAAAAGTCCTTTACAGAAATAGATAGAGGTGGAAAGGTTACCAACCACCCATGACCTTTTCCCCCTAGAATGACCTGCATCGTGCCATACAGCGAACACAGTCTGCCATCTCCAACCAGGTGCTCATTCTCATCTCCACCCTCTTCTGCCTCATATTCACTTGGTGAGTGTGTGCGTGTTCTTGCATGTGTGTGCACTTGTAAATTGCAGTCTGCATCCCAAACATGGGCACTTCGAAAACCAATGTAAATTAAGCAAACGGTTAGTTTCAGAAACGACGATAAACAACAGCAAAAAATATGTCCCGTGTAGCTCAGTTGGTAGAGAATGGCGCTTGCAACGGCAGGGTTGTGGGTTCGATTCCCACGGGGGGCCAGTATGAGAAAAAAAAAAGTATGCATTCACTAACTGTAAGTCGCTCTGGATAAGAGCGTCTGCTAAATGACTAAAAATTTACAAATGTAAAAAAAAAAATGTTAGCACTTAGCAATTTGGCATGTCCTCTCAGGCTAACTCAATAAGTGGATGGAGGAGGCAAAGCACCCTGCTTTGGACCACCTCTCCCACATCCAATAGGGTCTTACAGGATCAGCCCAGATTGAATTGCTGGTCATTATCTGTGGTTTTCCACCTCAGAGCTTCAAGCACTTACAGTCACTTGCAACTAATGCATCACGTCTGACATCATATTTCTGGGTTACCAAGTGTACAGCTCTGGGACCTATTTTCTCCAGTGCACTCTGTGGGTAAATGGCATTACAATGTAAATTACCTCGGAATAATTCCCTCAATATCTGGCTTCCTGTTGACTGCCACAAGACCATTAATGTAATGTGTGCGATGCCACAAAAGCAAGGTAGTGGCAGCAATTACTACTACATCCTGAAAAAATGAATTTTTTAATGAAAGTTGAAGGCACATATTCCAAAGAACGAACCCTGCACTCAACAGACAGTATTTCACTGTGTTTATTCACATTGCCTAGAATATGAAATATCCCACTGGGCACAGATGTCTATTCCACGTTGGTTCAACGTAATTTTGTTGAAATCAGGTGGAAAAATCATTGATTGAACTACAGTACCAGTCAGAAGTTTGGACACACCTACTCATTCAAGGGTTTTTCTTTATTTGTACTATTTTTTACATTGTAGAATAATAGTGAATAAATCAAAACTATGAAATAACACATATGGAACCATGTAGTATCCATAAAAGTGTTAAACAAATCAACATATATTTTATATTTGAGATTGTTCAAATAGCCACCCTTTGCCTTGATGACAGCTTTGCATACTATTGGAATTCTCTCAACCAGCTTCATGAGGTAGTCACCTGGAATGCATTTCAATTAACAGGTGTGCCTTGTTAAAAGTTAATTTGTGGAATTTCTTTCCTTAATGCGTTTGAGCCAATCAGTTGTGTTGTGACAAGGTAGGGGTGGTATACAGAAGATAGCCCTATTTGGTGAAAGACCAAGTCCATATTATGGCAAGAACAGCTCAAATAAGCAAAGAGAAACGACAGTCCATCATTACTTCAAGACATGAAGGTCATTCAATATTGAACATTTCAATAACTTTTAAAGTTTCTTCAAGTGCAGTCGCAAAATCCATCAAGCACTATGATGAAACTGGCTCTCATGAGGCCCGCCACAGGAAAGGAAGACCCAGAGTTACTTCTGCTGATGAGGATAAGTTCATTAGAGTTACCAGCCTCAGAAATTGCAGCCCAAATAAATGCTTCACAGAGTTCAAGTAACAGACACATCTCAACATCAACTGTTCAGAGGAGACTGTGTGGATCAGGCCTTCATGGTCGTATTGCTGCAAAGAAACCACTACTAAAGGACACCAATAAGAAGAAGAGACTTGCTTGGGCCAAGAAACACGAGCAATGGACATTAGACCGGTGGAAATGTGTCCTTTGGTCTGGAGTTCAAATGTGAGATTTTTTGTTCCAACCGCCGTGTCTTTGTGAGACGCGGTGTGGGTGAACGGATGATCTCTGCATGTGTATTTCCCACCGTAAAGCATGGAGGAGGAGGTGTTATGGTGTGTGGGTGCTTTGCTGGTGACATTGTCTCTGATTTATTTAGAATTCAAGGCACACTTATCCAGCATGGCTACCACAGCATTCTGCAGTGATACGCCATCCCATCTGGTTTGGGCTTAGTGGGACTATCATTTGTTTTTCAACAGGACAATGTCCCAACACACCCCCAGGCTGTGTAAGGGCTATTTAACCAAGGAGAGTGATGGAGTGCTGCATCAGATGACCTGGCCTCCACAATACCCCGACCTCAACCCAACTGAGATGGTTTGGGATGAGTCGGATGGCAGGGTGTAGGAAAAGCAGCCAACAAATGCTCAGCATATGTGGGAACTCCTTCAAGACTCTTAAAAGCATTCCAGGTGAAGCTGATTGAGAGAATGCCAAGATTTTGCAAAGCTGTCATCAAGGCAAAGGGGGGCTATTTGAAGAATCTCAAATATAAAATATAATTTGATTTGTTTAACACTTTTTTGGTTACTACATAATTCCATATGTGTTATTTCATAGTTTTTATGTCTTCACTATTATTCTACAAAGTAGAAAATAGTACAAATAAAGAAAAACCCTTAAATGAGTAGGTGTGTCCAACCCTTTGACTGGTAGTGTATGTACATGTGATATTTCTGTTTTTTTTTGGTAATACATTTGCAAACATTTCTAAAAACCAGTTTTTGCTTTGTCATTATGGGGTATTGTGTGTAGATTAATGATAGGGAAAAACAATTTAATAAATTATAGAATAAGGCTGTAACGTAACAAAATGTGGAAAAAGTCAAGGGGTCTGAATACTTTCCGAATGATCAATGGAAACAGGATTCACCTGAGCTCAATTTCGAGTCTCATAGCAAAGGTTCTGAAAAGTTATGTAAATAAGGTATTTTTAAATATATTTTTTATACATTTGCAAACATTTCAAAAAACGTGTTTTCACTTTGTCGTTATGGAGTATTGTTTGTAGATTGCTGAGGATTTTTATTTATTTAATACATTTTAGAATAAGGCTGTATTGTAACAAAATGTGGAAAAAGTCAAGTGGTCTGAATTCTTTCCGAAGGCACTGTAATTTAATTTGTGATGGTGAGTAAAATAAATCATTTTGATCTCACCTAATTTTAACATTCTGTCATAAAGAGCACATGTTCAATTTATTACAAAACTAGTTTTCCCATCTCAAGAGATTAAAAAAAACTATAGTAAGTGCCTATCTTGAGCTTAATTAAATAATAAAAATATATCTGTTTGTCTTTTTATAACTTTAAACAAAAACTGTACATCATTTAATGCTCCACAATATGTCAAAGTGTAGGTATAGGTCTTGTGCTTCCAATGAGTGGTATTATATGTCTATAACGTGGATGGTTAGTGGTGTTATGGTGCGTTCGTAACCAAGTTGGAAGTAGGAATTTAACACATCTGCAAAAACTCCACTTGAACGGCCTTCCAAATGGTAATTACTAGTTAAATCATCCATGTGACAAGGGCAATGGAAGCTGGCTGTGTGCAGCAGAGAGGGGCACTTGAAAGCAAGATTTTATTTAAGTGGCAGTCTTTCTCCAATGTATCTACAATTACATAATCCAAAGATTTTTTTGTACATTAGGAGAGGAGTTGGAGCTTAAATGCCCTAAAAAGGCATAGTGCCTCAAAATACAAAGAAGCACTTGCTTTATGTTTTTTGTGTATTCTATGTTAAATGTTTGCTCAAGAAGCTTGGAAGAATGTGAACGCAATACTTATGTTCTTATCATCTTCTCTCACAATAAAAGCTGTTACTGTTCTTGTGCTGTGGCATACATTGCTTCTGATTGAGACAAACCAACTAGTGACCTTCACCAAAACGTGATATCTTTCTTTCTGTCCTGCTCAAGACCTGGCTGTTCTGTTCGGTCATTTCCCCCTGCCGACCCCTCAGTTTGGGAACTACTGCCTTACATGGTGAAAAATACACATTGATTTCATTGTATATCCCCCAGAGTCAAATCTGGTGTTTTTAGACAGGATTCAAGCTACAGTGTATTAGACCAAACTCAAGACAGGAACAATTATTTCAGCAAGCGACCTAAGTCACACATTCAGTCATTTATAATACATACATAAATGCCTTTTATAATATGACACTGTACTTACTATAAAGTCAGACAACTTTGGTCATTCATAACACATACAGTACCAGTCAAAAGTTTGGACACACCTACTCATTCAAGGGTTTTTCTTTATTTTTACTATTTTCTACATTGTAGAATAATAGTGAAGACATCAAAACTATGAAAGAACACATATGGAATCATGTAGTAACCAAAATATATTTTATATTCTTCAAATTAGCCACCCTTTGCCTTGATGACAGCTTTGCACACTCTTGGCATTCTCTCAACCAGCTTCACCTGGAATACTTTTCCAGCAGTCTTGAAGGAGTTCCCACATATGCTGAGCACTTGTTGGCTGCTTTTCCTTCACTATGCGGTCCAACTCATCCCAAACCATCTCAATTGGGTTGAGATAGGGTGACTGTAGAGGCCAGGTCATCTGATGCAGCACTCCATCACTCTCCTTCTTGGTCAAGGGGGTGGGGCTAACCGGATGTTTGTCCCGGACTCTGCCCATTCCTCGGTTCTGGAATGGGCTCATTCCTCTCGACTGGCCTGCCATCCTGGCTCCCATCGGACCCTGGCCTTTGTACGACAACATTTTTGGATGACCCACCATGGTTCCTGACGTCTCCGCGTTCGTCGCAGCCTGCACCGTGTGTGCCCAGAATAAGACTCCTCGGCAAGCTCTGGCAGGCCTCCTTCAACCACTTTCCATCCCTCACTGTCCCTGGTGACATATATCCCTGGACTTCGTCACTGGTCTCTCCCCGTCTGATGGCAACACGGTTATCCTTACCATGGTGGCCTGGTTTTCCAAAGCTGCCCACCTCATCCCTCTCCCCAAGCTACCCTCAGCCAAGGAGACGGCCCAGCTCATGGTGCAGCACGTCTTCCGGATCCATGGACTTCCGGTGGACATGGTCTCCGACCGGGGTCCTCAGGTCTCGTCCCAGTTCTGGAAGGCGTTCTGCATGCTCATTGGGTCGTCGGCCAGCCTGTCCTCCGGGTTCCACCCCCAGTCTATCGGCCAGTTGAAGCAAACCAATCAGGACCTGGAGACGACTCTTTGCTGCCTGGTCTCTGCCAATATCACCACCTGGAGCCAGCAGCTCTTGTGGGTAGAGTACGCCTGCAACACCCTCCCTTGCTCAGCCACTGGTCTCTCACCTTTTGAGTATCCCTGGGATATCAGCCCCCGCTCTTCCCGGAGCAAGAGGAAGAGGTCAGCATACCCTCAGCCCAGATGTTCGTCCGCTGCTGTCGCCATACCTGGAAGAGAGCCCAGTCGGCTCTTCTCAAGACCACCTCCAGGTATTGATGACAGGTGGACTGCCACCGTACCCCGGCTCCCCGTTATTGTCTCGGGCAGAGGGTATGGCTGTCCACTCTGGATCTGCCCCTCCGGGTAGAATCCCGCAAACTGTCCCCCTGTTTTATCGGCCCTTTCCCCATCTCCAAGATCCTTAGCCCCTCTGCTGTTCATTTTCTGTTGCCCTGTGCCCTCCGTATGCATCCCACTTTTCATGTGTCTAGGATTAAATCTATGTCTCACAGCCCTTTGTCTCCTGTTTCCTGTGTTCTCTGTTTGTCTGTTGTCAGTTAGTCTTGTCTTGTCTTGTCAGGTCTTACCAGCGTTCTTTCCTGTCTTCCTGTGTCTCAAGTTCTGTTTCCTAGTTTTTCGTGGTTCTGACCATTCTGCCTGCCCTGACCCCGAGCCTGCCTGCCGTCCTGTACCTGCCTGAATCTGACCTGATCCCGAACCTCTGCTTGCCCTCGACCTGCCCTTTGCCTGCCCCGTGTTTATAATAAATCATCTGAGAACTGTACTATCCACCTCCCGTGTCTGCATCTGGGTCATATCCTGATACGTGATAGTGTGTGCCTTTCCAAATCATGTCATATCAATTGAATTTACCAAAGGTGGACTCCAATCTAGTTAAAGAAACCTCTCAAGGATGATCAATTGAAACAGGATGCACCTGAGCTCAATTTCGAGTCTCATAGCAAAGGGTCTGAATACTTATGTCTGAGGGACAGACGTAAATGAATCACTAATCACATGAAACAGATTATTTTTAAATATTTGCAAATTTAAAATAAAAACGGAATATCACATTTACATAAGTATTCAGACCCTTTACTCATTACTTTGTTGAAGCACCTTTGGCAGCGATTATAGCCTCGAGTCTTCTTGGGTATGACACTACAAGCTTGGCACATCTGTATTTGGGGAGTTTATCCCATTCTTCTCTGCAGATCCTCTCAAGCTCTGTCAGGTTGGATGGGGAGCATCACTACACAGCTATTTTCAGATCTCACCAGAGATGTTCAATCGGGTTCAAGTCCGGGCTCTGGCTGGGTCACTCAAGAACATTCAGAGACTTGTCTCAAGGCCACTCCTGCATTGTCTTGGCTGTGTGCTTAGGGTCGTTGTCCTGTTGGAAGGTGAACCTTCGCCCCAGTCTGAGGTCCTGAGTGCTCTTTTCGAGCAGGTTTTCATCAAGGATCTCTCTGTACTTTGCTCCGTTCATCTTTCCCTCGATCCTGACTAGTCTCCCAGTCGCTGCTGCTGAAAAACATCTAAGGCACTGCATCGCAGTGCTAACTGTGCCACTAGAGATCCTGGTTCGAATCCAGGCTCTGTCGCAGCCGGCCGCGACCGGGAGACTCATGGGCGGCGCACAATTCGTCCAGGGTAGGGGAGGGAATGGCCGGCAGGGATGTAGCTCAGTTGATACAGCATGGCGTTTGCAACGCCAGGGTTGTGGGTTCAATTCCCACGGGGGGCCAGTATAAAAAAATATGTATTCACTAACTGTAAGTCGCTCTGGATAAGAGCGTCTGCTAAATGACTAAAATGTAAAATGTAATGTAAAATGACTGTCTCATCTGAGCTGATTGCCTTGGGGTAATGACCGCTAAGTGATCTCATTTGCTGCCCTGCCCATAATGTGCGTGTGTGTGTGTGTTTGTGTGTGTGTCACAGAAGGTTTACGGAGGGACATTTCAAAATGTTGAATTTTGGCATTTTAGTAAGTCTTTATTCATATTGATAATCAGATGTATTGAATTTTCCATGTGGTCCAGGCTTTTAAAATTCAATATTGGTCCATAATTTCTACTTAACATATCAAAGGGATGCAAAAGAGTGTCATTTCGTGGAACGACCAAGTACACGTTAAGTTCTGCTCGTTGGACGTTGGTTCCAATGCTCTCGTCAAGTATGTTTGTTTATTTGTCACATGAAAGACTGTACTATATTTTGAAATACATAAAATTCATTTCCCGATGCATTTTACATATATTGTGATATACATTTGAAATACATGTATATATACGTTTTAAATCAATTCCGTAATATATGTTGGAATGTATTTAAAATCTATTAAATATATATATATATTGAATACATTATTTGGCCAATTTTAAATCTTTCACATGTATCATAAAAAAATTGATCTAAAAATATATTTTAGATTTATGTTTTTCCATATGGGATGCTATTATTTGTAAAGTAGATGTACTTGTACACAAAAGAGACTCTGGTTATCAATGGCTGATAGTGAAAGCAATACTAACAGCTCTTCTGAGTTTCCTGTGGGCTCTGTCTCATCTGAGCTGATTGCCTTGGGTTAATGGCCGCTAAGTGATCTTAGTTCTGCCATTTGCTGCCCTGCCCATAATGTGCGTGTGTGTGTACGTGTGTGTGTGTGTGTGTGCGTAGTTTTTTTCTCTGTCCCTTTATGGTCATAAAGTGATACTCATGGTGAAGGCTGATGATGGTCACACACCCTTGTCTGGTAGTCCATCAGTTATCATTTCTCAAAACAACATATATGTTATAGATGATTTAGATGTGCTGTGTAGGATGTCTTTGTAGACAGAATATTCCTCTTAAGGTCCTAGCTGGTAAATGCAGGTTTACTGGAATGACGACATTACTCCATGTAATCATTCCCCTACAAAATCCAATAAGTCCACAGAATAGAGCACACTCATTCAGTGGCCAAGTTTTACTAATCTATTTACTGGACCAGTGCGATCACAGGTTAAGCTACTTCCAATGTCAATACATGACTGACCACAACATTCAACAAAAAAAACAGATAGGATGCATGCTATGTATTCATTCAAGAATTGCAAAAATACATTTCCACAATATGCAGAGCATTTCTGTTAATAAATACATCCACAGATATATTTGACGACATACAGTATATCGATCATCATTAACAATAGTGTATGTTACAAAGAGATTTGAGGATATATGTCTGGCTATGGGAAGTTCAGTTGGCTTGTAGGTTTATGTTTCTTCTCGACTAAAACCTTATGGGCCAGTTTCCCAGAGACAGATTAAGTTTAGTCCTGATCCAAAAAGCTCAATGAGAATTTCCATTGAAAGTGCTTTTTAGTCAAGGAGTAAATGTAATCTCTGTCCAGAAAACTGGCCCTATGTGTAGTACCACTAGTTTTTCTTGACCATCTGCCTTAGTTAAAAGACCCAGTGTTTTTCCTGGTTGGGTCATGTGGTCTGGAAAATCTCTTGGCCCTACTTCATGTTTCAGTGTAGACACCAAGGGCAAATTTCCCGAACACAGATTAAGTCTAGTACTGGACTAAAACACAAACTCAATGGAGAACCTAAAATGAAAATCCTGATAAATCAAAGACTTGGCTTAATCTGTGTCTGGTAAACTGTCCCCAAATGATGCAATGACACCACTCCCTTCACAACCCCTGTGTTACTGCTTTCCTGTATCCCTGGTAGTATCTGTGGCATCCAGCACCTGGAGCGGGCGGGCAAGAATCTGACGTTGTTCGACTCCTGGTACTTCTGTGTTGTCACGTTCTCCACGGTGGGCTACGGCGACGTCACACCCAACGTGTGGCCCTCCAAGCTGCTGGTGATCATTATGATCTCAGTGGCCCTTGTGGTGCTGCCCATTCAGGTGAGAAAGTCGGCCAAGAACACACACATACATTGCACCGCACATACAGACAGACAGACAGACAGACAGACAGACAGACAGACAGACAGACAGACAGACAGACAGACAGAGACACAATAAGACACACAGACAAAATTACCACACTCCCATCTGTTTGCTAAAGGGAAATCAACTGGACTAATGTTCGGACATCTAGGAAATGCCAAATCGATAGAACACATGCGAGTAGGGAGTCAGCTGAACTAGAAAGGGCATAATCATGTTCGAGGCATTGTAGATGCATTGGTAGGCCAAAAGTATCCATACTGCTGCTGTTCTGCCATTGTAAACAGATTGCCTTAATGAAGACAGTAACTGACATTTACTCTGGCCTTTTTTATGGACACAATTTCAATATTCTGTTGAAGCATATTTTTTCTACTACTAGTCCTGGAGATCCACAGGGTATGCAGGCTTATGTCCCAGCTAGCTGTACTAACACACCTAACTTGATGATTAGTTGATGATATGAATCAGGTGTGTTAGTACTGGGCTGGAGAAAACAATGCACACTGTAGCTCTATAGGACCAGGATGGAAGAAAAGAGTGATAAAATATAAATGCTTTACTCTATATTACAACATGTGTTGGATTGGGTGAACTGTATGCATTTAGCCATGTATTTAGCCTATTTGAATGATTTGAGAATGTGTTTTGCGCAACATGAGCAGTATTAGTAAGGTGTGCCTGTGCTGGGTGCTATTGGTCAGTTTGAACAGCTAGCCTACCTGTGGATGGAGAGACAGAAGTCGGGGGGGAACTACAGCCGCCACCGGGCCCAGACGGAGAAACATGTGGTGCTGTGTGTCAGCTCCCTCAAGATAGACCTCCTGATGGACTTCCTCAATGAGTTCTACGCCCACCCCGGGCTGCAGGTGTGTGTGTGTGTGTGTGTGTGTGTGTGTGTTTGTACGTGCGTGCGTGTGTGTAGGTGAATGAGTTGGTGTGTGTGTGTCACGATCATCATACAGAGTGGACCAAGGCGCAGCGTGATATGCGTACATACTTTATAATTAGTACTTTGCACACAACACAAAACAACAAAACGATACGTGAAGTCCTTGGTTTACAGACACAAACCATACACAGAACAAGATCCCACAAACACTGTGGCAAAACAGTCTACCTAAGTATGGTTCCCAATCAGAGACAACAAGCAACAGCTGATTCACGTTGCCTCTGATTGAGAACCACACCGGCCAACATAGAAACAAATGAACTAGATAAACAACCTAGCACACAAAACACATAGAAACAACCCACCCTGGCTCAACATAACAGAGTCCCAGAGCCAGGGCGTGACAGTGTGTGCGTGCGTGTATACTTGAGTCTTGTTCATTCAGGCACGCGTCAGGAAAGGTTTTAAAACACTTTGCAACAGAAATTTGCATTTCTTTTTGGACAAGTCCAGGTAGTCCCTCCCTGTTTCAGTCCGTTTTCGTCCATTTGGTGCCTAATGAACACGACCCAGGCTGTTCCTCTGTGTTCCTCCCCATCCAGGACTACTACGTCATCATCCTGTGTCCGACAGAGATGGACCCCCAGGTTCGCCGGGTCCTCCAGATCCCCCTATGGTCCCAGCGTGTCATCTACCTCCAGGGGTCAGCCCTCAAAGACCAGGACCTCATACGGGCCAAGTGAGTTACCAACACTAAGGGCTGCGTCTCAATCCGCTTAAATAGTTTCCTCTCTTTGGGTCTTTAGTCTCCTTTCCTTCAACTGCACTGATGTGGAAGAGCTGGACTGGTAAAAAACAATAGTGGATAGGCAATGGGTATCCACCATATTGCTTGCCTTTCACCTCTCTTATGTTTTAAGATGAGTGTGGGTTGGTATACAGTTGGAGAGGAGATGAGAGGAAGCCACTGTAGAGTATTGAGATGTAACCACTTAGTTTTGAATGGGTGTCCTTCTTTTCCAGACTGGATAATGCAGAGGCTTGTTTCATCCTAAGCAGTCGCTGTGAGGTGGACCGCACCGCCGCAGTACGTACATTTGCTACTATTACCACTACAACAAGTGTTAAATCAGGGGCAGACTGGGACCAAGAGACCAGCCCACTGGCCTAAGGAGTGACCAGCCCACCAGGCTTTTGTGTTAGATTAGGTCAATACATACCTGAATGGGCACTAGCAAACCATATGCTAAAGGTTACTACTAGTTAGCATAGTTATAATAATTGTTTTATATATTTTTTCTTGCAATAGCCCTCTGTGACTTTAAATAATATTTATCTCAAAACTGTGATTCCTAAAAGATGTGTCCAGAGATTTGGTGAACTCTGTCAAATTTGTCTAAAATCATAAATTAATCCAGAATGAGCAAGGTCAGCTATACCATAAGGACCCCTTATTCATGTCCTCATTACATTTAGTGCAACAAGACCACTTATGGTCTGTAAAGTTCTCTACTTTTGATAGATTTAAACAAACAATATTGGAATCACCATCGTATCAACCATAAACTGTCAACTCCATCTGCCTGATAGATTAAGATAGAATAGGAATTATGGTTCAAATATGTTACCTTTAATTAGGTTTTTAGAGTCAATAAGTCATATATCACTTGAATGAAGAAGAAAAATGACATTTTTGTCAACTCTGTAAAACATCAACTCAACATCAACAAATTTTTGTCTAATGCGTGCTGACTAATCTGATAGAATGTGTATGTTTTTATTGGGAATTTTCAAATGAATAATTTCCCATATTAAACAAATGTTTGTATTGAACCTTTATTTTTAGAGGCACAAATATGTCTGTTTTGAGTATCTGTTGACAATTCCGTCAGTGGCTTGTCAACTCTGTCAATAGTTGACTTTTTTTGTCAATATTCTGAAATAATATTTGAATCACTGTTCTGCAACATATGCTTAAACAATTGAAGTATTTGCTGTGCTAGGTTGTATGTTCTATACTGAACAAAAATATAAACGCAACATGCAACAATTTCAAAGATTTTACTGACTTGCAGTTCATATGAGGAAATCAGTCAATTGAAATAAATTCATTAGGCCCTAATCTATGGATTTCACATGACTGGAAATACAGATATGCACCTGTTAGTCACAAAAAAAGGTATGGGCGTGGATCAGAAAAGCAGTCAGTATCTGGTGTGACAACCATCTGCCTCATGCAGCGAGACCCATCTCCTTTGCATAGAGTTGATCAAGCTGTTGATTGTGGCCTTTGGAATGTTGTCCCACTCCTCTTCAATGGGTATGTGAAGTTGCTGGATATTGGCAGGAACTGGAACATGCTGTCATACACATCGATCCAGAGCATCCTAAACATGCTCCATGGGTGACATGTCTGGTGAGTATGCAGGCCATTGAAGAACTGGAACATTTTCAGCTTCCAGGAATTGTGTATAGATCCTTAAGACATAGGGCTGTGCGTTATCATGCTGAAACATGAGGTGATGGCAGTGAATGAATGGCACGACAATGGGCCTCAGGATCTCGTTACGGTTTCTCTGTGCATTCAAACTGCCATCGATAAAATGCAATTGTGTTCATTGTTTGTAGCTTATACCTGCCCATACCATAACCCCACCGTCACCATGGGGCACTCTGTTCACAACGTTGACATCAGCAAACCGCTGGTGAAGAAGCTGGATGTGGAGGTCCTGAGCTGGTGTGGTTAATTGTGGTCTGCGGTTGTAAGGCCGGTTGGACCTACTTCCAAATTCTCTAAAATGACGTTGGAGGTGGCTTATGGTAGAGAAATTAACATTACATTCTCTGGCAACAGCTTTGGTGGACATTCCTGCAGTCAGCATGCCAATTGCACACTCCCTCAAAACTTGAGACATCTGTGGAGTAGCCTTTTATTGTCCCCAGCACAAGGTGCACCTGTATAATGATCATGCTGTTTAATCAGCTTCTTGATATGTCACACCTGTCAGGTGGATGGATTATCTTGGCAAAGGAGAAATGCTCACTAACAGTGATGTAAACATATTTGTGCACAACATTTGAGAGAAGTAAGCTTTTTGTGCGTATGGAACATTTCTGTGATCTTTTATTTCAGCTCTTTTATTTTCAGCTCATGAAACATGGGACCAACACGTTTATATTTTTGTTTAGTATAAATCGAGAAACACATCCCAAAATGCTAATTAAATTAGCCCTCGAGCATTTAATAGTGCTATAAAACAAAACAAAAAGAAGTTTGGAGATTTGTATAACATATTTCAATAATTGAATGTTCGAATTAAACAATCAAAGCCTTTAAACACTGTAAAAATGAAATGCCTTTTATGGTGTCTGATGGAGTTGACATAAATCCAGTTAGTTAGTAAATCCAGTTAGCATGTTATGATAAAAAATCATAGCATGGCACGTTTTATTGCAAATTGAGCTGACAATACTATGATACATACCGGCAAGAGTATCACTTATAATAGGACAAGTACTTATACAAGGTACAGAGGGACTTTGTATTGCTCAAGCTTTGTATGACATCTGACATAAACATACCTAATAATAATAATAATAATAATAATAATAATAATAATAAATAGCATTTGTAGAGCGCTTTTCATTTATAGAAGTAAATCCCAAAGATCTTTACATTGAAAGCAACCATTAAAATAAAAATGCTTTAATAAAAGAGCTAAAAACAGGCGAAAAATTGAAAGATAGTAGCTATCTAGTAGCTAGTACTATACAAGATACACAACAGAATAAGGAGGCGACAAGGACAAAACAATAGAACTTAAAACTAACGTATAGGACCAACAAAAGACAACACAAAATAGATCACAATAAGCGAAAGCCAGTTTAAAGAAGTGGTTATTGAGCTCAGACTTAAAGGCAGTGGTGATCTGGGGCATGCAGAGGTGGAGCGGGAGCTCGTTCCAGAGCCGGGGGACGAGACCGCAGAATGCTTGGTCACCCATTGTTTTTAGGCGCCAGTGTTATAACCACGGTGCAGTGCATAAAGCAATGGAACATAAAACAGCTCAAACAAATGTATCTCTGATGTGTTTTTGTTGTCTTGTTTGCCTCTTAAGGACCATCAGACAATTCTGCGAGCTTGGGCTGTGAAGGATTTCGCTCCAAAGTGCCCCATTTATGTCCAGATTCTAAAGCCAGAGAATAAATTCCATGTGAAATTTGCAGGTAAAGACAGATTAATGTATTGTTAAGAAACATTTGTTTAGATGATTTGGGATCTTGGCATACATTTTCTGGAATATCCTGAATTGTGGCCCCAATAATGGGTTAACCCTTCCTTCTCTAGTTTTTGTATTTATATTTTCTCTATGTATTCAGGTTAGTCTCATTGAGTCCCATCTCAGTAATACGTAAAACGTAATCAAATCTTATTAATCTCCATTGCCTTAGATCATGTTGTGTGTGAGGAGGAATTAAAGTATGCCATGTTGGCCCTGAACTGCATCTGTCCAGCGACCTCCACCCTTATAACACTACTGGTCCACACTTCACAGGGTCTGTAAGTACACAACCACCCTCCACCCTCATATCTAGTCAACACCTCAATGGTGTACACTCCAGAAGATCTACAGTAGGCAACCCACCAACCCACCAAGTCTCTACCCAAGTCTTTACTCTACCCACCAAGTCTGCAAATGGAAAAAAATGCATACTGCGAAAGCCTAGACTATGAATACCCTCTTCATTACTCTATGTGCTTCAGGGAGGGGCAGCAGTCTCCAGAGCAGTGGCACAGGACCTATGGCAAGTGTTCCGGGAACGAGGTCTATAACATCGCCATGAGAGACAGCATCATCTTCTCGGAGTACATGGGGAAAAGCTTCACCTACACCTCCTTCCACTCACATAAGAAGTAAGTAGAAAACACCAATACGTCTTAGGGGGGGTCCTAGGGTCAAGGGTCACAGACTTGCCATTAAACAGCCCTACTGACAGATTACCACATTTTCTTGTGATCCCGGTTCCAATGGTTAGATTTACTGTGCTATTTCAGTTGTATCCATGGATGGGGACGGATATGTGTGCTTAAATGCTCAATAAACACTTTTAACCAACAAATAAAATCACATTTTATTAGTCACATGCTTGTTAAACAACAGGTGTAGACTAACAGTGAAATGCTTACTTATGGGCCCTTCCAACAATGCAGAGAGAAAGAAAATAGAGAAATAATAGAAAAGTAATAACACAGAATAATAAATACACAATGAGTAATGATAACTTCGCTATATACACGGGGTACCAGTCCCGAGTCGATGTGCAGGGGTACGAGGTAATTAAGGTAGATATGTACATATAACTAGGAATAAAGTGACTAGGCAACAGGATAGATAATAAACAGTAGCAGCAGCGTATATGTGATGAGTAAAATAAAATTCGCGCATAAAGGGTCAATGCAGATAGTCCGGGTAGCTATTAGGTATAACACACCAGGTATACAATAAACATCAACAAAATATTTGACTGAAAATAGCACTGATCCGACACATTTAAAACCAGCCCTATTTATGAATATTCTAATACAGGTGACAAAATGTAGGTCAAAGGGTAGGGATTTGACCACATAATAATAATAATCATAATAATCATAATAATAATGTATTAAACTTCTATAGCACTTTTCATAACAGAAATCTCAAAGCACTTCATAAGCACAAAACAAACAAAAAAGAAATATGTCAGGTCAACCAATAGAGGCCAAGTCTTTGAAAGCTGCATCCTCTGCAGATGGAGAGGGTCAGTTGATGGCTTGAGCGGAGGGAGCTGGTCAGAGGATGGTAAATGATGGTGATGGAGTCTGCTGATTATCTTGTAGAGGGCAAGTCCGGGAACCAGCACGAGTCATATAGCCACTGGACTTCTCCTCTTCCACTCTGTGAAGCACCCATTTGGGCAATGCGTCGGCAGCTCTGGGCGTCAGAAAGCTCACCACACAAAGTTCAGAATAGTAGCCAGTCGTCCTCTCTACGAGCCCTCTGCCTCAGCACTGCATTCCTCCATCTCCAATTCCTCTTACACTTCAAGCGACTCCTCATGACCATACCTGGAAAACCTTAGCAAACACTCTGGTCTCATCATGTGGTCAGGAAAAACTCAGTTGCCCAGTCAAATAGGCGTTGAACAGACATCTCTCCCTCTGTTATTTCCCCTCTGTACCTCCACTCTGTGTGAGCTAACTCTAAACCTCGATCTCTGTCCTCAGGTATGGTGTGTGTCTGATCGGGGTGTGCCGGGAGGACAGTAAGAGCATCCTGCTGAACCCCGGGTCCCAGTTCAGGATGAGCCCCAATGACACCTGCTTCTACATCAACATCACCAAGGAGGAGAACTCAACCTTTAAGAGGGAGAGGATGGTCAGCTGGCCTTGCCTGCCTGTCCACAGTGCCATCACCAGCATGGGTCAGTAATATGAGCTCTATTCCAATATCAAAACGTGTGTACTACGTAGCATGAAGTGATGAAGTATACTAACAAGTGAGTGATGTATTGGGCAAGTATAGTGTGCTAGTGTGGATATTGGTATATATAGTCATCGATTATTCTGCATTATTGAACTACAATTGGTATTTTTCTGAAATATTATGAATGACTTGTAAGACAGACACAGAAAAATGCCCACAATAAATAGTTGTAAATGTTGTGTTCCTTTGTATCCTTGTTCAGGCACTGTGGCCACAGACCTCCAGGACACAGGCTTCAAGCCCCGCTCTGGGCCTACTCTCTGTCTCCCCCCAGAGGACATTAAGGGTAACAGCAGGAGGCCCAGCATCAGCCCCGTGCTAGAGGTGCCAGATACTTCCTCTATGCACACAGGTGACCTCTATAGCGACCAATCAGAGGACGAGACCCTGCCCTCCGAGGAGGACCAATCAACTGAGGAGTATGTTTTATATTATTTCTATAAGAGGATGTAAGCCAAACATTTTTTTCAGGAAACATGTTACTACCTCTGTTACATTGATACCATGCAATATGTCTTACTTTTTATTCTCCAATGAAAAAAAAATGGGGTTAAAAGAGAGGATGTAAGCCTTTTGGTTATTTCAGTTAGGGGTCTCCAACTTTGGTCCTGGAGTGCTACAGTGTGCACATTATTCAATTAACTACAGATACAGGATATATTTAGACCTATTTTGTCACAGCAAAATAATCCTGTAGCAACAGGATTTGAACGTTTAGTCCAGTAGAGGCTGGTGAGGGGAGACGTCCTCCCCTCACCAGCCTCCACTGGTTTAGTCCATAATGTTGCTTTATCGGTGGTTAGGCTATTAGCTGGCCAAAAGTAGGTTACATGTGCAATAATGTTAATATAACTTTGTGTTAGAGTGGGTTTTCAGTTAATTTATGTAAATCACAAAGCTCATCTGCATTTCCTGTGGTGCAAGAAAATTCTCAGCAACAAAAGAGTGATCAAATTAAGACCCTACACCTGTATGTTCTAGACTGAAGACCATGCATAGTTGATTGATTCAGGTAGGTTAGTGCTGGAACAAAAACGTACACACCTGGTAGCTCTCAGACTGGAATTGGAGAACACCTGCATTAGATGATGATTTGTGAGACAATAATGACATTTGTTTGTCTATTAATTTTAATCGGCGATCCATACTCTACAGTAAAATATGAATTGTGTGTCTGTTTATTTGAAGCTATGTGAAAGGCTATTCTCCCAACCTGCCCTACATCGGTAGTTCTCCAACACTTTGCCATCTACTGAAGGAGAAAGTACCATACTGTTGCCTCAGACTGGAAGGGGTAAATGATGCATGTCACTTAATCAGTTAAAGCAATATAGGTAGTATTAAGTCATGTTAACCATTGGCACTATTAAGCCTAGACCTGAACTAAAATGCATGCACAATGGGAAATCTGTTTTTTAATCAATGTCCGGGAAACCGACCCACATTTTAATTGAAATACATTTTTTTACATTTTAAAACAACAACATAAAAATGTATGTTATTTTCCGCATAGGGTTGTCAGCATAACAACTTTGAGGACGCCAAAGCATATAGCTTTAAGAACAAGCTAATCATTGTGTCGGCTGAGACGGCGGGAAATGGACTGTACAACTTCATCGTCCCACTTAGAGCTTCCTACAGACTAAAGAAAGAGCTGAACCCGATTGTGCTGCTCCTGGATAATCAGTAAGAGCAGCGTTTTATTTGATCTTCTTAACCTTTTTATTGCGCTGCCCTCTTGGTCAGGTCTCCATTGCTAAAGCGTTACAGATTTGCGTCGCAGGATGAAAATAATCAGCAGGAGGATTTGAATATCTGAAGAAATATTTAGAATGCAGTACCATAGCTGCCTACGTTGTACCTTAGACTGCAGGTCCACTGGGCGCCAGTTCAAGTAGCCTATGTAGTTTTATTATATGTTAAAGGCAAGCAATAGGCAGAATAAATTATTGGTGGCGTCAGTGTGGTCCAGCGGTTAAAGTTGGCCTGTGCTACTGTAGCCGGCGCATAACAGCTTAGTAAGTAAGGTCATCCACACCAAAGACCATAACTACTGTATAACTACTGTATATTGACAAATTATACATAGCCTAGCTATAAAACGTGGGCGCGCATCCACACTGAAGGAAAGTTTATCGTTCTATGGTAGGCCTACATCTGTCAATCAACTGTCTCATCATGTCTCCCGAGTGGCGCAGTGGTCTAAGGCACTTCATCGCAGTGCTAGCTGTGCCACTAGAGATCCTGGTTCGAATCCAGGCTCTGTCGTAGCCGGCCGCGGCCGGGAGACCCATGGGGCGGCGCACAATTGGCCCAGCGTTGTCCAGGGTAGGGGAGGGAATGGCCGGCAGGGGATGTAGCTCAGTTGGTGGAGCATGGTGTTTGCAACGCCAGGGTTGTGGGTTCGATAAAAATAATGTATGCGCTAACTGTAAGTCGCTCTGGATAAGAGCGTCTGCTAAATGACTAAAATGTAAAAATGTAACTGATGGCCCAAATCAGCATTGGTGGAAAAAGTACCCAACTGTCATGAGTAAAAGTAAAGATACCTTAATAGAAAATGACTCAAGTAAATGTTACCCAGTAAAATTCTACTTGAGTAAAGTCTAGAAGTATTTGGTTTAAAATATACTTAAGTATGAAAAGTAAATGTAATTGCTAAAATATACTTAAGTATCAAAAGTAAAATAATAAATAATTTCAAATTCCTTATACACTGCTCAAAAAAGGGAACACTTAAACAACACAATGTAACTCCAAGTCAATCACACTTCTGTGAAATCAAACTGTCCACTTAGGAAGCAACACTGATTGACAATACATTTCACATGCTGTTGTGCAAATGGAATAGACAACAGGTGGAAATTATAGGCAATTAGCAAGACACCCCCAATAAAGGACTGGTTTTGCAGGTGGTGACCACAGACCACTTCTCAGTTCCTATGCTTCCTGGCTGATGTTTTGGTCACTTTTGAATGCTGGCGGTGATTTCACTCTAGTGGTAGCATGAGACTGAGTCTACAACCCACACAAGTGGCTCAGGTAGTGCAGCTCATCCAGGATGGTACATCAATGCGAGCTGTGGCAAGAAGGTTTGCTGTGTCTGTCAGCGTAGTGTCCAGAGCATGGAGGCGCTACCAGGAGACAGGCCAGTACATCAGGAGACGTGGAGGAGGCCGTAGGAGGGCAACAACCCAGCAGCAGGACCGCTACCTCCGCCTTTGTGCAAGGAGGAGCACTGCCAGAGCCCTGCAAAATGACCTCCAGCAGGCCACAAATGTGCATGTGTCTGCTCAAACGGTCAGAAACAGACTCCATGAGGGTGGTATGAGGGCCCGACGTCCACAGGTGGGGGTTGTGCTTACAGCCCAACACCGTGCAGGACGTTTGGCATTTGCCAGAGAACACCAAGATTGGCAAATTCGCCACTGGCACCCTGTGCTCTTCACAGATGAAAGCAGGTTCACACTGAGCATATGTGACAGACGTGACAGAGTCTGGAGACGCCGTGGAGAACGTTCTGCTGCCTGCAACATCCTCCAGCATGACCGGTTTGGTGGTGGGTCAGTCATGGTGTGTGGTGGCATTTCTTTGGGGGGCCGCACAGCCCTCCATGTGCTCGCCAGAGGTAGCCTGACTGCCATTAGGTACCGAGATGAGATCCTCAGACCCCTTGTGAGACCATATGCTGGTGCGGTTGGCCCTGGTATCCTCCTAATGCAAAACAATGCTAGACCTCATGTGGCTGGAGTGTGTCAGCAGTTCCTGCAAGAGGAAGGCATTGATGCTATGGACTGGCCCGCCCGTTCCCCAGACCTGAATCCAATTGAGCACATCTGGGACATCATGAATCGCTCCATCCACCAACGCCACATTGCACCACAGACTGTCCAGGAGTTGGCGGATGCTTTAGTCCAGGTCTGGGAGGAGATCCCTCAGGAGACCATCCGCCACCTCATCAGGAGCATGCCCAGGCGTTGTAGGGAGGTCATACAGGCACGTGGAGGCCACACACACTACTGAGCCTCATTTTGACTTGTTTTAAGGACATTACATCAAAGTTGGATCAGCCTGTAGTGTGGTTTTCCACTTACATTTTGAGGGTGACTCCAAATCCAGACCTCCATGGATTGATAAATTTGATTTCCATTGATAATTTTTGTGTGATTTTGTTGTCAGCACATTCAACTATGTAAAGAAAAAAGTATTTAATAATATTATTTCATTCATTCAGATCTAGGATGTGTTATTTTAGTGTCCCCTTAATTTTTTTGAGCAGTGTATTAAGCAAACCAGATGGCACCATTTTCTTGTTTTATTTATTTATGGAAAGCCCGGGGCACACCAACATTCAGACATTATTTACAAACCAAGCATGTGTTTAGTGAGTCCACCAGATCAGCGGCAGTAGGGATGACCAGGGATGTTCGGTTGATAAGTGCGTGAATTTGACTGTTTTCCTGTAACGAGTACTTTTGGTTTCAAGGAAAGTGTATGGAGTAAAAAGTACAATATTTTCTTAAGGAATGTAGTTAAGTAAAAGTTGTCAAAAATATAAATACTACTTAAAAGTACCCGCACAGCTGTTCTCCATTGCAACCATTATTGGTCACCTCATTATTGCTCCCTAAAAGATGTCAGTGTTACTTTAGTCTAGCCTGATGACTCACACTAAATTATTCTGCTGCTCTGTCGTTTGCTACATACTTTAGTCTGAGACTGCCATCATTGCCATCGTAGGCCCTGTGTAGCTCAGTTGGTAGAGCATGGCACTTGCAACGCCAGGGTTGTGGGTTCGTTTCCCATGGGGGGCCAGTATGAAAAATGTATGCACTCACTAACTGTAAGTCGCTCTGGATAAGAGCATCTGCTAAATGACTAAAATGTTTTTAAAAATTGAAGTCGTTTGTGGTGATGAGGGGCCCGAGGGGAGTAGCCTAGACTTGCTACTCAACTACAATACATTTTGAGTGCACCACACAGCAATGCTGCATTCACTATTTATTTAGTAAGCTAAAAAGACAGAGCCTAACATTAGCTAGCTACTATGAGGATGTCATGTCATTGGAGGAGTGGATGAGTGACTGACTTTTTCCCCTCATCGTTTTTGGGTGGCTACAGCTAGAGATGCAGGTGTAATTTGGTTAGCTAGCAAGAAATGTGAATCACTTTGCTAGCTAGCTAGCTAGCTATGCTGAACTTGAACGACTGTTAGCCTAAGTAAGCATATCTATAAAAAAAACAAAACAAAAAAAAAACATACAATCTAACTGCAGTGAAGCCGCTCAACATTTACGTTACATTCAGTCATTTTGCAGACACTCCAATCCAGAGTGACCCACAGGAGCAACCAGGGTCAAGCACCCCCGCCCAGGGGCACATCGACAGATCTCCCTCCAAGTCAAATCGGGGACCCGAACCAGTGCCCAAGCTCCCAACTGCCAGGCCACCAACCATCCAAGATCCCCCAACAGTCCCCCCAAGAGCTGCCCCTCAAGCATCTGAGAGCCCCCCCATATTTGCAGAAATCCATTCAGGTGGCTTTTGGCGAATGCGTTCTAATGATCTAATGATCGTGCTGTTGCTACTGCCTGTAACACAGTCCAGTTCAAAGTGAATGATGGCAGGCCCATGTGGCAAATGGATTATTTGCATATTGGCCTACTGTAGCTCTGATTGGCTATGGCGCACCGGTCTGCTTAGACTCTGGTCCTGGACAAGAGAGATGTTTTTATTTTGGTTTATTCATTGTCAAAACACACGTCTGCCTTCCCACTCTATATTGCTATAGAATTTTCACAAATGCGTTACAATTCATAATTCCCAAACATTCTATGAATTTATGAAAACGTGAAAATCTAAGTGCTCGCTTGTCAGAAAATGTAAAAAAAAAAAAAGGTGTCATATTCTTCCTATGATCAGATTTTAATAAGATTTAATGTTGCTAAAACGCTTTCAGTTCCACTTTAAATAACATTTTTAGAAAGTTCTGAACGTTACTAAAGTTTTGTAGTGTTTTTTATGGAACGTTTTCTTAACATTCTCGGAACAATTTGAGAACATGATTTTAAATAGAACCATGAGGAAACCTTGTGTTGAAGTACTAAAATCCCCACAGAAGAACGTTGTTTCTTAACGTTCTCTGAAATATTTGATTTGATTTGAATATTTGAGATCATTCCCAATGCAAACCAGTTGGAGAACATTCCTAGAATATTACCATAATTACAATTAAATGTAACCATGTTTGAACATTTAAAGTAATGAAATACCAAGAAAATAACGTTTTTTTTTTTTTGTCAAGTTCCTTAAATGTGCTGAGAATGTTACAAAGCCAAGCAACTATCCGGCAAAGTTGTGGGAAGGTTGTATGCAAAATAACCATAGGACAACCACGCGCTCACCAAGCTCTATGAAACATATGGTTCTCAGAACGTTATGTGCTAGCTGGGAAGTGAATGTTAAATGAGATTGAATGGCTATGGCTTATCTTGAATTCAGCAAGATACCAATGAGCGCCCTTTTTGGTACTTTTACCACAAGCAAAGCAGCACCTCCTACCATATTTTCTCTATTTTATAAAAGTGACTGTCTCTTTTGGATATGGCGGGTTGGGTACTGTGACAGCAAAAATAACAATATTTGTTCATATGGACAATGAAGATCTATTCAATTTAATTAAATTCCATTCTATTCTATTCTTTTCCATGTTGTGACGCGTTCTGTTGTCTCACCAGGCCTGACACACAGTTCCTGGAGGCAATCTGTTGGTTCCCCATGGTGTTCTACATGGTCGGCTCCATCGATAAGTACTTGACGCACATCACCTTATAACCTTATCAATCATTTAATTTAGTGCAAGTACTGCATTTGTATGCTATTAGTCTTCCTAACAAGACTACATCTAAAGGAAACGGACTGAGTGAACTGAAATATCAATTTCTCAAATAAGTCCTGTGTCCAACGTCACCTTTCTAGACAGCCCCCGAGATACTATTAGTTACGATTCTCTCTCCACAGCGAATCTTTCAAAAGATAGCTAGCTCATGTGCAGAGTCCAGAGGTTTTCCTGACAGTCTATAACTAAGGTCTTGAGTTTTTCAAGTCAAGAAGTCAAATTCAAGTCAAATGTGTGTGTGTGTGTGTCTCCCCTAGCCTGGATGACCTCCTGCGCTGCGGCGTGTCCTTTGCAGCCAACATGGTGGTGGTGGACAAGGAGAGCACCATGAGTGCAGAGGAGGACTACATGGCTGACGCCAAAACCATCGTCAATGTGCAGACACTGTTCAGGTACCGGAACCATTGTCAATGTGCAGACACTGTTCAGGTACTGCAACCATTGTCAATCTGCAGACACTGTTTATGTACCGAAACCATCATCAATGTGCAGACACTGTTCAGGTACCGTAACCATTGTTAGTGTTTAGGTAGCGAAACCCTTGTTAGTGCTCAGACACTGTTCAGGTAGCGCAACTATCGTCAATGTGCAAACACTGTTCACTCTATATTTTTCATCTCTTTCATCGGTCTCCCATCTTGATCTTTCAGTGGAACATCTTTGCTGGCCTTTTTGTCTGCCGTGAGTTTCTTTGTGATTTTGTTACTTACCTCATGTCTTTCCTTCTAACTGCCATCTCTGCTTCAGAGGCAGGAAGGCCACCAAAAATTCTGAAATTTCCATCCCCAACTATAACATTTTCCGTCTAGATAGAACTGCCAAAGGGGGTGGAGTTGCAATCTACTGTAGAGATAGCCTGCAGAGCTCTATCATACTATCCAGGTCTGTGCCCAAACAGTTTGAGCTTCTACTTCTAAAAATCCACCTTTCCAGAAATAAGTCTCTCACTGTTGCCGCTTGCTACAGACCCCCCTCAGCCCCCAGATGTGCCCTGGACACCATATGTGAATTGATTGCCCCCCATTTATCCTCAGAGTTCGTACTGCTTGGTGACCTAAATTGGGATATGCTTAATACCCCGGCCATCCTACAATCCAAACTAGATGCCCTCAACCTCACGCAAATTATCAACGAACCTACCAGGTACAACCCTAAATCCGTAAACATGGGTACCCTCATAGATATCATCCTGACTAACATACCCTCTAAATACACCTCAGCTGTCTTCAACCAGGATCTCAGCGATCACTGCCTTATTGCCTGCGTCCGTAACGGGTCCGCAGTCAAACGACCACCCCTCATCACTGTCAAACGCTCCCTAAAACACTTTAGCGAGCAGGCCTTCCTAATTGACCTGGCCCAGGTATCCTGGATGGATATAGATCTCATTCCGTCAGTAGAGGATGCCTGGTTGTTCCTTAAAAGTAATTTCCTCTCAATCTTAAATAAACATGCCCCATTCAAAAAATACAGAACTAAGAACCGATATAGCCCCTGGTTCTCCTCAGACTTGACTGCCCTTGACCAGCACAAAAACATCCTGTGGCGTACTGCATTAGCATCAAATAGCCCCCGCGATATGCAACTTTTCAGGGAAGTTAGGAACCAATATACACAAGCAGTCAGGAAAGCAAAGGCAAATTTTTTACAAACAGAAATTTGCATCCTGTAGCACTAACTCCAAAAAGTTTTGGGACACTGTAAAGTCCATGGAGAATAAGAGTACTTCCTCCCAGTTGCCCACTGCACTGAGGCTAGGAAACACTATCACCACCGATAAATCTACAATAATCGAGAATTTCAACAAGCATTTTGCTACAGCTGGCCATGCTTTCCATCTGGCTACCACTACCCCGGCCACCAACTCTGCACCCTCCGCTGAAACTTGCCCATGCCCCCCCCGCTTCTCCTTCACACAAATTCAGACAGCAGACGTTTTGAAAGAGCTGCAAAATCTGGACCCCTACAAATCAGCTGGGCTAGACAATCTGGACCCTTTCTTTCTAAAACTAGCCGCCGAAATTGTCGCAACCCCTATTACTAGTCTGTTCAACCTCTCTTTCATAACGTCTGAGATCCCCAGAGATTGGAAAGCTGCCGCGGTCATCCCCCTCTTCAAAGGGGGTGACACTCTAGATCCAAACTGCTACAGACCTATATCCATCCTGCCCTGCCTTTCGAAAGTATTTGAAAGCCAAGTTAACAAACAGATCACCGACCATTTCGAATACCACCGTACCTTCTCCGCTATGCAATCCGGTTTCCGAGCTGGTCATGGGTGCACTTCAGCCACACTCAAGGTCCTAAACGATATTATAACCGCGATTGATAATAGACAATACTGTGCAGCCGTCTTCATCGACCTGGCCAAGGCTTTCGACTCTGTCAACCACCGCATTCTTATTGGCAGACTAAATAGCCTTGGTTTCTCAAATGACTGCCTCGCCTGGTTCACCAACTACTTCTCAGATAGAGTTCAATGTGTCAAATCGGAGGGCCTGTTGTCTGGACCTATGGCAGTCTCTATGGGGGTGCCACAGGGTTCAATTCTTGGGCCGACTCTTTTCTCCGTGTATATCAATGATGTCGCTCTTGCTGCTGGTGACTCTCAGATCCACCTCTACGCAGACGACACCATTTTGTATACATCTGGCCCTTCATTGGACACTGTGTTAACAAACCTCCAAACGAGCTTCAATGCCATACAACACTCCTTCAGTAGCCTCCAACTGCTCTTAAACACTAGTAAAACTAAATGCATGCTTTTCAATCGAACGCTGCTGGCACCCGCCCACCCGACTAGAATCACCACTCTTGACGGGTCTGACCTAGAGTATGTGGACAACTACAAATACCTAGGTGTCTGGTTAGACTGTAAACTCTCCTTCCAGACTCACATAAAGAATCTCCAATCCAAAGTTAAATCTAGAATCGGCTTCCTATTTCGCAACAAAGCCTCCTTCACTCATGCTGCTAAACATGCCCTCGTAAAACTGACTATCCTACCGATCCTTGACTTCGGCGATGTCATTTACAAAATAGCCTCCAACACTCTACTCAGCAAATTGGATGTAGTCTATCACAGTGCCATCCGTTTTGTCTCCAAAGCCCCATACGCTACCCACCACTGTGACCTGTACGCTCTTGTTGGCTGGTCCTCACTACATGTTCGTCGTCAAACCCACTGGCTCCAGGCCATCTATAAATCACTGCTAGGCAAATCCCCGCCTTATCTTAGCTCATTGGTCACCATAGCAGCACCCACCCGTAGTCTGCGCTCCAGCAGGTATATCTCACTGGTCATTCCCAAAGCCAACACCTCCTTTGGCCGTCATTCCTTCCAGTTCTCTGCTGCCAATGACTGGAACGAATTGCAAAAATCTCTGAAGCTGGAGACTCTTATCTCCCTCACTAACTTTAAGCATCAGTTGTCAGAGCACCTTACCGATCACTGCACCTGTACACAGCCCATCTGAAATTAGCCCACCCAACTACCTCATCCCTATATTGTTATTTATTTTGCTCTTTTGCACCCCAGTATCTCTATTTGCACATAATCTCTTGCACATCTAGCATTCCAGTGTTAATACTATTGTAATTATTTTGCACTATAGCCTATTTATTGCCTTACCTCCATAACTTGCTACATTTGCACACACTGTATATATATTTTCTGTTGTATTTTTGACTTTGTTTTGTTTTACCCCATATGTAACTCTGTGTTGTTGTTTTTATCGCACTGCTTTGCTTTATCTTGGCCAGGTCGCAGTTGTAAATGAGAACTTGTTCTCAACTGGTTTACCTGGTTAAATAAAGGTGAAATAAAAAATAAAAAAATAAAAAAATACCCCAGAATGACAAAGCAAAAACAGCTTTTTAGAAATGTTTGCAATTTAAAAAAAATATTAACCTGGAAATATCAAATTTACATAAGTATTCAGACCCTTTACTCAGTACTTTGTTGAAGCACCTTTGGCAGCGATTACAGCCTCGAGTATTCTTGGGTATGACGCTACAAGCTTGGCACACCTGTATTTGGGGAGATTCTCCCATTCTTCTCTAGCCTATTTATTGCCTTACCTCCATAACTTGCTACATTTGCACACACTGTATATATATTTTCTGTTGTATTTTTGACTTTGTTTTGTTTTACCCCATATGTAACTCTGTGTTGTTGTTGTTTTTATCGCACTGCTTTGCTTTGTCTTGGCCAGGTCGCAGTTGTAAATGAGAACTTGTTCTCAACTGGCTTACCTGGTTAAATAAAGGTGAAATAAAAAATAAAGAGGCAAGTCTTTCTACATATTTAGGCGTTCACAACAAAGCTGTGAAATCTATCGTTATTCTTAGATTATTTCTTTTCCTTGACATTTCCTTGTCTAATAACTCAAGCATAGATTGGTAACTTTTTTCTAATTTGGCACACAGAAACTAGAGGCCATGAGTAACTTGGTCAAAAAGAATGCCATGATTGGCCTATAGGTGGCGCTGTTATAAGCAGTCTCACTTAAATCATCATATCCGTCGCCCCATTTGACCTAGAGACTTTAAACTTTGTACACTGAACAAAAATATAATAACATGTAAAGTGCTGGTCCCATGTTTCATGAGCTGAAATAAAAGATACCAGAAGTTTTCCATACTCACAAAAAGCTTATTTATCTCAAAATTTGTGCACAAATTTGTTTACATTCCTGTTAGTGAGCATTTTACCCTTTGTCAAGATAACCCATCCACCTGACAGATGTGGCATGTCAAGAAGCTGATTAAACAGCATGATCATTACACAGGTGCACCTTGTGCTGGAGACAATAAAGGGTCACTCTAAAATGTGCAGTTTTATCACACAACAGAATGCCACAGATGTCTCAAGTGTTGAGGGAGCATGCAATTGGCATGCTGACTGCAGGAATGTCAATTTCTCTAGCATAAGCCACCTCCAACGTCCATTTTAGAACATTTGGCAGTACGTCCAACCGGCCTCACAACCGCAGACCACGTGTAACCGTTTATATTTTTGTTCAGTATATGTAGGTATTGTTCCTCATGCTGAAAAAAATCTCAATATTCTCATGAACCATATAAGTTCGAAATTCTGCATGTAAGCCCATGGTACATCTGTTAACCAATCCCTTAGCTTTTCTCAAGCTAAGTTAAGAGATGGCTGAGTTCTTGATTAATCAGGAAATCAGATTGTACGTGTCCATTTAAATGCTTTGTAAATCCACTTCACAATGGCCTATTAATTTTAAACTTTTTGGGGTCATCGAATACATTACCATAATAAACCATGTTAAGTTTGGCATTTATGTCTTAAAAAATAAGGAAACTATTAACAATTAACTGTTTTGACTATGTAACACAAATGCTTAGAATAATCATACAAATATATTTATCTCATGGACCAAAAGTCAGATTCACTCCAGATT